ACACAAATAGCCAAGCATTACTACAAATACAAAACCTTACAGACTCATCTTTTACCGGTCACGAGCATAGCGCTCGATAAACTAGGTAAAAGGTATTTTGAATTAAAAATGTCGCTCAACCGCTCATGAGATTTGTAAAGCTTATAAAATTTGAAACTCACAAAACGGTGTTACGTTATTACACATCCCACAGCATAATTTCGTAATTAATTACGAGCCATTAGAAACAATTGGATTAATTGATGTAAGCGCGTCGGGTGATTTATCGGAGCGCGTAATCGGCATATCATTCGTTTTGATCGGCAGATGCTTGACAGGCAGCTATGACCGAACTTGTAAAGTTTGGGACATTGACAGTGGAACGGAGCTTCTTACTCTCGAAGGCCATAAGAACGTGGTCTATGCTGTCTCCTTCAACAATCCAACTTCGTGAGTTAGTCGCGATGATCAAAGTTAGTTGCGACAATATCGATCCGGTTTGAAAGTAAGACAGCTCGCGATGGAGCTATTTCTTTTCTTTTTTTTTCCCTCCCCTTTCTTTCTCACTGCGCGCGTTACATTTCATTTACATCGCAACGGCAGCAGCTGGGACTTTTGTCAACGTTACCATTTCAGAGACAAAATTGTGACTGGATCCTTCGACAGAACGGCAAAAGTCTGGTGCTCACGGACGGGTCATTGCCTCGCAACCATGTGGGGTCACGACGCGGAAGTAGTGGTAGCTAAATTCTCACCGACGCAATGCAGCCTGACGACCGGCTCCATTGACGCAACGTCAAAAATATTCCATGTAGAAACCGGTATCGAAAAATATTGCAATGTTATTTCATACAATAAACGCGCGCGCCGATTCGACTGGCTCTTGCGATCGATCGAGCGCGACGCGCTACTGTCGAATCTGCTTCCCGATGCGCGAACTGTGGCGGTTAATGTTTATCTTTGTCCAGTATATTTAATCATTATTGGCTTGTGTTATCAAACGGCGAGTTGACATTCCAGTTAAACAAGCTTGAAGAGAGCGACTCTTGTTTGAGTTTTTGTGTTCTCAGTTGTATCCGAAAGGCAATTTAGAATATTAAGCGCTATCGATTGTTTCTCAAAGTGGCTTCGCAATAATACATTTCGTGCGGCATGCACTATTTTTGTCTTTTTTTTTTAAAACACGTTCAATTAAATTGATTTCACGTTTTACTTTTATTACTCCGTTGTTGAGAAAAATCTAAAGAGACAGTCCGTTTAAAATAATTTATGGAATAAAGTATCGTCACAGATGTCCTTATTCTATTTTTATGCGAAACATTCGATTTGGATTCGGCAGGTCAGGAATTGGGCACGTTGAGAGGCCATACGGCGGAAGTTATTGCGCTGCATTACAACGATGATGGAAATCAGATCATATCGGGTTCCTTTGACGGGACCGTGAACATCTGGGATGCAAGGACTTTTGCGTGGGTCTATTTTATTATCTTATTTTAATGTTATTGAAAGTGAAAACAGTTTGGTAAATATGGCAAAGATTTATTATTTTTCTGGCACATGTTTCAATTTCTTCGAAATTCGATTTGACTTTAGCGCACAAATGACTTTCCCAAACAATAAATCCATGCAAAACGGCGTAATTCATTGATAGTAAGACTACAATTGTTTGAAATTTATAAAACATCGCTCTTTTATTTTTTTCAATGTAAATCATGCATAGAAAATCGTGGTTTTTTATCCCTCAATTGCAAAATTCAGTTGTAAGATTAAAAGTCTTTTCAACCGGCGATCAGACGAACGAGCGTACTGGTCGGGCATCACGCGGCGTTGTCCAACTGCCTCTACAACTTCGACTGTTCGCTGATCGCGTCGTCGTCGATGGATAAAAGCGCGAAGATATGGGATGCGAGGATGAATTCCTGCGTGGCCACGCTGCGGGGACACGAGGACGAACTTCTGGATCTCGCTTTCGACAACAACGGCAAGAAACTGGCGACAGCCAGCAGCGACACTACCGCGCGAGTTTGGGATATAAGCAGCACGTTTCAACAATTGACTCTGATGAAAGGCCATCAGGAGGAAGTTTCGAAAGGCAAATCTCCTAAATACACGTTTCGCGCTATATCCATCCGATATTCCAAATTTATAGCAAGCTAAATTCTCCGGAATGTATTTCAGTGTGCTTCAGTCCGAACGGTCGTCAGCTTCTAACCGCTTCCTTGGACAGAACAGCCAGACTGTGGTCTGTAGACGACGGCTCCTGCTTTCAGCAATTAAAAGGTCACACCGACGACGTCTTCGCTTGTGCGTTCTCGTACGCGGGGGATAGCATAATTACCGCTAGCAAGGATAATACATGCACGATCTGGAGATGATTAGACTGGTTTCAAGTATGCGCTTAGCTGCTGCTCGTTTCTTTGTTTATTATTTATGTTGTATATTTTTATGTTATCTAAATTTTTATGTCTCGCGCAGTTTATCGCTTTCTGATAAACGAGCGTAACAGCGATAGAACGGGCAGATAGCAATAATATCAAGCATTTCCGCATTCTGTAAAAATACTGATGTTGCAATGTTGACAACGAGAAAAGGAAGGATATTTTTGCGGAAAAAAAAGATTTTGCGGTCGAAAAATGGAAAAACTTTTTGAATAAATTTGTTTGTAGAAATACACTACATAGAAATATGTTGCTCTGATATTAAAACAAAATAGTCTAACAAATAGCATATGAAATACATTTTATTATTGCACTGAATTTGTCACTAAAACTATTTTCATACAAAATCGCTATTTTTAACAAGTCCTTTTGCTCTTTATATATAATAATTAATGATATTTGCTTATATAATATGCAGGCTATTTAAAACAAACATATTTATCTTGAAATAAATTCACTTCATAATAATTATGAAAACACAGAATGTTAAATCAAATTAACGCGCGTGACTAGTGAGATGATGTAGCGATTTTCCGAGTTGGACTTTGACGACCGATAACATTCGATTAAAAGCATCATCGATAAAAAAGTTGCTCTAGATTCTCGTTCAATATTAACTGATTGTAAATTAATTTTACACTTATAAAAATTAATATAGAAAATTTTTATCTCTTAATTCTACACAGTCTTTGAAAATTGCAAATAGTATATAAAAATACACACAAATACACAATTTGTTAATATTGAGACATAAATTCGAAAGTTTGCTAGATAGTAAAATAATTCTTAATTCTAATTGTTACGCTTTTGCAGAGTCTTAGAATGTGCAATAAAGTCGGTTAAATAAATACGTTATAAAAAATGCAATTATAGACTTGTGTCGCAAGATTTACGTATATATATATATATATAGAATTTTGTAATTGTAAATATAAATGTTATGTTTAATACGTACATGTATCAATTGTTACACGTGAGAGATGTACATATCGAAAAGCTTGAAATTATCCTGTAGCATGTAGCTATAAATGCATCGTAAACCCCACTCTAAAACCAGTCACTGACTTGGGACTACATCGCGTTTAGTTGGTCAGTGAGAGCCCAAGGCAGTCGTCTCGAACTCGTGATCTCGCTCGCACTAGTGTTCGTAAAGTGGAACGCGATGCGTTACACCGCGAGTTCTTTAGTTCCTGAAGAGAGAGATTCATCGTAATGGATAACACCTGCTTCGATAGAAATGTCGGTATAACTTATGTATCGCATCGATATAAATTATAAAGCTTTACTTCTAGCATTTGTTTTAGAATTAAAATTTGTTTCTACATTTTCTGACTTGATAAACATCACAAGATTATAATGACACAGGAAAGTTTTCAATATTCTGCTCGATTGTCTTGAGTGTTAAAAAACATATTGCGCGTGAAGTTACGATACTATAGATAGGACACTAATTATTGACATCTGTAATCAATGTACGACGATGCTGAATATTGATTGTAGTGAGAAAAATTTCAAGATTAAGTATACAATTTTTCAGATACATTTTTCAAGCGCGTGCGTCAAATGTCGATGGAGGAAAAAAACATATCGCGTCTACGTGCAGAATACGATTGTAAAGTCAGTTTTTGTCGTAATTTTTTTTTTTGTAAGTCCACGGTTACGTTAATTAATTACATAGCAATGCGAAAGAGACATACAGACAGACGCAAATTAATTAGCGGAAGCACATCGTGAGTGTATGTTAAGAGTCATATAATTAGTGTCGCTGAACTGAAACCGATATAGCACGTGATTTACGGCAATTTTAAAAATACATTTTTTTTTCCATTATTTTAACATGTTTCGCGTGTTGTACGTATGTCATTTTAAAAATTTAAAGAAAAAAAATTGAGCGACGACAAAAACTATCCAGTAAGCTTGTTACAGGCTGAAATAAATGCTACAATTACGTGTTTGCGATAAAATTTGATTGTAAATTTGTGGAAAAGGTAATTAATACATTGCTTGATGAGCATATTTTATCATCTTTTGCAGCTATATTTTAGACAAGTGTCAATAATAAACAATATGCATATTGCTTCTTTCAAATCGTGATTTATCAAGAAATCCAATAATCGCGAGCAATCATTAAACGAAAATGCTATAAAAAAAAAACTTGATAAAGATATATTTAATGTATTTAGATTGATGCGCGCAAATTTAATGCTATATATTTTAACATTTATCGCGCGACTTTGTTCGAAACAAGCAGCAAGAATAAAATCGGAAAAAGCGAAATAATTATAAAGATCGCAATTGATATACAATGCGGTGAATCATGTGGAGGGGATGGAAGTGTCGGGCTTAAAGATGTCTCGATCGAGGGTCCTCGCGTTCGCTCCGCGGCACTCGATCAACCCGTGCATTTATGTATTTCGTTTATTTTTCTCGATTACAAATAGTTTGCGTATTCGTCATGTCAAAGAGCGCTGAGTGCGTTTGGAGTTGGAAAAGCGTGACCACTTTTACCACAAGGTCAATCCGACCGTAAAAATGCAAGAAAGTTAATCATAAGGCACTGCTTATAGACATGCGACCGATCCAAATACGTTCGTAGTACAATTGAATTTTTGAAAAAAAAATATATGGAAAAGAATCGAAAGAATCTTCCGATTACGTGTCAGTCTTCCATTACGTGAACCTTGAATTTGTTTCGTATAAAGATTAAGTCCAAACACACATTTCGCGCAGGGTGCATAATAATTTAACTCTGGCGTCTATTATCCTGTTACTTCTGTTCTGAACGCTATTACGCTTTATTCGTACCTATCAACAATCGTCTTACTAAGATACTACAGTGACATTCAAAAACGCACGACACTTTCTGAACTTTAGACAGCGTTATTTTAATTGCGAATGTAATTTATAGTTTTATTTTTTTCTAATTCGTTGTTTGAGATAAAATTTAATCAATTGTAATGATAAAGTTGAAGTAATATATATATAATCATTAAATTTCAATTTTTGACTAAGTTTTTGACACATCTTTTCTGTCTCCTCCATTTTCTCTTTTGCATAATGTCGAACACTTGTATTATGGATTTTATTAATACTTCAATTTTATTATTAATTGTGTAATTCGTTATTTTCGTGCGAACCAAATCTTGTCTTAATGTCGTAAATCATAAAGCAAATGTTTGCGTTGCGTTTATTATTTCGACATTAAAGCTAGCCTAATATCTGGCAGAAACATTTGTAAGTTGTTTTTATGATATGACACAAATTCTATCGCACGAAAATCTGGCGTTTTGGAGCCAACTCTTTACGCTCCCTATCGTATCTAATTTGATTGTTAATCAGATGTTTAATCAGCTGAGCCTTTATATTTCCAAATTTTTGTATAAAGATTATAAGAATAATAGAAGATATTTAAAAAATTGTTGTCCCCAAAATGCGGTCATTGCATTATAAACTAATAATTTATATGTCATTAATATTTATAAAATTATTTTGCAGATTACAATATGACCGGAATAGATAATTTAGGCTATGACGATGTCGAGCCACGGGTAAGTTAATATTAAATCAGCTAAAAATAATGTAAATAAATAGAGAGCGTCCTAGTATAATGAATGATTTCCTTTTATTTCTTCCTAAAGAAGATAGACTATAAGAAATAAAAGTCAAATTTAATGGTTTCAACTAAACTCTATTGTGAGCATACTGATGACTCACAAAAGCTGTCTCCGTCGAAGAATAAAGAAATAACTTTATCTTTTTAAGCTAATGCGTCGTTGTCATAAAAATTATGTCTCTGTGCGAGTTACAATAATATTTATTCACGAGTTATTACACAGTTATTATACACGAGTTGTTACACAATCGGTTTAAAATTTTGTTTATTGAGCATAATCAGCGGCTATACATTTTGCACGCGACTTTACAGTCCGCAGTCAATTTTTAATATCGTTAATAATAAATCTGTGCACGTTAAATTGTCTGATTAAAAATACAAATAATATTAAGTTATTGCTCTTCCTTAATTAAATTAAAAATCGTTTTAATATATAAAGCCAATAGAGCAAGAGCTGGATCGATTTGCTCAAAAATTCCTTTTTTATTATAAATTTATAATTTATAATTATTATTATATTAATAATGTTATCCCATCCACAATTTCAACAAAAGAATTTAGAAGACATAATAACTATTTTATTAAACAATAGTTACCCTTTAGATTTTATTTTCTTAACTATTAAAAATAGAATAAAATTTCATATACACAAGATTTTTAACAAAAATGACAATAACAACGCAAATACGAATAATAATAACAAAAGAAAGATTTTTACTGTGCCATATGTAAAAATTTATCGGAACAATTTGTTCAAATCTCAAAAAATAACGATTGTATGTTGGCCTTTTCGTGCGACAATAAATTGAACAAATTTATAAAAACTGGAAAAGACTCTCTAGATAGGATGAACCAGTGTGAAATTGTCTATAAGATTTCTTGTCGAGACTGTGACGCTACGTACGTAGGACAGACAAAAAGACAATTACGGACTAGAATAAAAGAACACAGAACGGATATCAATAAAAAATCAGGCTCTCCCTCAGTTATTTCGTGCCACAGAATGGATTTTAATCATGACTTCAAATGGGACGAAATTGATATATTAGACAGAGAACCTTGTTACAGTAAAAGATTAACTTCCGAAATGCTACATATAAAAAGACAGAATACAGGACTGAACAAACAGGAGGACACAGAATCATTACCGGATACATATCTTCCAATACTCAAAAAATTCCCCACCCTGTAGTTTTCGTCTATAACCTATCCCCTCTTTCCTTTCCATCCTACATCTTTACCAGTCGAGCCCCATTCACAGCCGTGGACACATGTCACAGTTTTAATTTCTTTTACATAGTCGTTGACGAACCGTTCAAGGTAT